TATTTAACGCTGCAATTGCTCAACCCCTTCCAGTCAGCACTTCTGATTTCCTTTTACTGGATTATTTTTCCCATGCCACTTACCACCTTCTAACATACTGATAATTCTCTTATTTTTATGCTTATAAATTATCGTCTTTCCTCCCCTGTTAGTATATACATTCCACAAGGGCAGTGGTCCCTGATGGTTTGTTCACTGATGCATCCCCAAATGCCTGGCACAGAGGAGGTACTCAATGAATACTTGAATGAATTGATGAATAAAACAACACGAGATGGTGCTTAAATAAGAGCTCAGCTAGGAAGGGTACGAGGGATGAGGGAGGCCAGAGGGGCCGTACTGCACAGAACATCCTGGACTGAGAAGCATGTTGGCAGTTTCTTACTCCCATTCTCTCCCACCTCCCAGTGGCTGGCCTGGACCTGTGATCAGCCATGCCTGATTCTTCCAAGACATCAAGTCTTGAAAACATATGCCTGATGACACTGAGTCCTTGTCCTGGGAGACCAGCCGTCTGAAGGGTTCCTGGTGAATAGCTCTTCCCAAACCCATTTTAGGTAGTAGCTGGAGGAGGCTGCCCTGCAGTCCACTCAGGCCCCTTAGAAGTTCGGCCAATTTTTGGATTTGGAATTCCCAACTGGTTCACATGCATTAGCAGGTTTAAAATAAACAAAGACCGGGATCACCCTAGAAGGTACCTCACCACTAGCATGAGAAATACCTGGGAAGCTTTGGAAAACACAAATTCCCAAGCCTAATCCCCATGAGATTCAAAATATTTTAGGGGGCCCAGGAATTTGGTTTGTTTTGTTTAACTCCACCAGGTGACTGTGGCCCAGCCAGAACCAGAGCCCTACACTGGACAGTTAGAATCCCAGTCAGTCCCCAGCAGCCAACCAGGCTCTCCCCAGGAAGGCAAGACATCTGTGCTTTCCTCTGTCCCCCGTCAGGAATTCTGGAGGGGCCTTCAGGAGCTGAAGCAGTCAGAACTCCAAGTGGAGGTGGGCAGGTAATGGGCCAAAATACCCCCTCAGCCCTGCTCTAGTATCAGCATTCCAGGCCCACCCACCTGGGCCCTTGGTCACCAGGAGACCTCACGCGTACACACAGGCCCTAACCTGCCCTGAGCCCAGATCCGGAGCTTCCCAAGCAGCTCTCTCAGCCTGCTTAGAACAAAGGCGATTGTTCTCCCGAGACGGTACTGCAGGGAGATGTCTGTCCGGCCTTCCCCTTCTCCCCATCCCTTCCATCTCTGCTCCCACCTTTAATGCCTGGGAGGAAAGGTGTCCTAAATATGACTGCTCTTGGCTGCGTTTTCCTCTCCAGCTTGAAAGTCACACGCTCTTATGTGTGGTTACTTGTGCACGGATCCCTCGAGCAGTCAGACACATTTCAATGCTGGAGGCTGAGGTTCCGGCAGATGAGGGGTTTTCTAAAATGCACATTAGGAGTTGCCGGTCTTCCTGTGGGAATCGTCCCATTATTTAAAGGATGGATTGTGCCTGTCCCTGCCCCCACCTGATGAAGCAGTAAATTGTAACAAGAGAATCTGGCTGAACAAGTTTCCGATTCAAACGTTATCTTGTGGACAAAGAACTCTTTGAATATGGTTTCTGTGTTTGGCTTCTTGTGATGGAGTGGAAAGTTGTTTTCACTGTTACTGGAATTCTTCTCTCCCTTCAGCATGTCCCTCGGTCATTCGCTTCAGGCAGCCTTGGGCCAGATGGGGGCAAGGGACAGCCACGTGGTCAGGAGAGCTGTGGCCAGGCCGTTTCCTGCTCATTAACACATGGGTATTGATAATATTTCTCTCTAGGACGCTGCTGGTGAGAAGCCGGGTTGTCCCCTTTGGTCACCAGAGGGCCCCTTTCTGGAAGAGCCCATGATCCAAACATGCTTGAGGCTGGTGACTGACAGGAAGCTCCTATTTTAAAAGGATTCCAAATCTAAACAGAATGTGTCTGGTTACTGACAAAATGCAATTACCCTCCACCGGAGGAGCTTCCCCTTCCAGTGATAACAAAGTTATACCCACAGGTAAAATAGAAACCTGGGCATAAATTCCCAGAGGTTTCTAACATCAAGCAAGGGTGATTGTTAAATGTATGGGCTTAAATTCATTTGATGTTTGTCCCCCTTTGATAATACTTCATAAATGAGAAGGTACAAAAAACTTTTTGTAGAAGTCGAAGGGTCAAAAGTTCTGTGGACTCTGGTTAAAAGCACCTGTGGGCCCGGTTTTACTGAACTCTCTTCCCTTGGCTCCTGTGGGAAATCTCTCTTTCTCCCTAGAAACACGATAACCAGGCTGCCCAGGAGCTAAGGGAAGGGTAGAAACATTTCCTGTTCTGTCCTCTTTTTCTCAAGGAAAGATTGCAGTTAACACTCTGCCTTCTTGGACATTTCTCACCAAACGAGGTCAGAATAGTGAAACAGGAAGCAGCTTGTGAGGATTTCAGTCCTCAACGTGGCCAACAAGAGAGCCAGCCCCTCCACGTCAGTTTTATTTACTCAATGGGTCTTTGTTGAGCTTCGGGCTGTCATAATTTTAGGCTCTGAGAGGAGTATAGGAGTCTTCAAGAGAACTGATATTTGTAAAGTATGAAGGGGACCGAAGTTTTGCCCCCCTAAAACTCCCTTTTAGGATATTGGTTTTAAGTTAGTTATTAAGGAACAAAAGACTCAGAAAAAAATTGATCCTCCCTCTTTCCTGTCTTAGAGATTCAGGTGGAAAGACCTGCAGCGGGAAGGAGTCAGAAAGGCTCCAGACAGGCCTGTTGACGGGCCCCCTGTGTCCTGTCGTTTCTGGGCTGCCTGTACCTGCGGACTGTCTATGACCTTTGAAATCTCAGACCCCTGCCCCACCCACCTTTTCTCCTTTGTCCATAATAGCATAAAACCTCAACTGTCCAATGTGTTTCGGGTCTCCCTAATATAAGGCACCCCCAAATGTACATTCGTATAATCAACTTTGTACACTTTCTCCTGTTAAATCTATCTCTGTTGATTTGATTATTAGTCCAGCTAGAACTGAGAAGGCAGGAGATAAAAGTATTTTTTTAGGCCCCACAAGTACATTCCCATTTATAAGTCACTTTCATCCCCCATAACTCAGCCAGAGGCTGAGCGGAAGGAAAAATGGCCTCTGGATTGGAAATGCTTAGAGACAGGCGAGGGAGGTCAGATTGCAGAGAAGAAACCTCCAGAGAATGGCACAAGGCCTCCGTTAATCCACGCCTAACCCGGCAGAGACATATCAAAAGTGCTGCAGCCCGGAGAAGAGAGATCAGTAAGACCCGGGCCCCCAGGTGCTCTCAATCGGAGTCTAGAATATACAGTTTTGTCGGTTTGGTTAGTTAAGTGTTTCAGCTGGAAAGACGTCTTCCTCCGAGACCCAAACCTCAACAAACGCCCCTCTCTTTCTTTTGAAGCCAGTTTCAAATCTCTTCCCTGATAGAGAAACTTTATCTCCTACATCCTCTCCACTCTTCTTGGTTACATCCGTGGACATGAAGTCGGCAAGTCCAGCTGGACCCTGCCACAGCCCTGTTCTAAAGAGAGACATGTCATCGACATGCGTTTATGTTTGGGGAAATTTGCTTTTATTTTGCTTTTGATTAATGTGCTAAGATGTTACATTAGGGAAGACTCCTCTCCCTCCCCTCCATTTGTGAGCCCCGCCAAGCTGGGTGGGTTCTCAGCAGAGCAGCTGAGGCAAATGTGAGCATGAGCATTCCCAGGGCTTGGCAGGGCCGCAGGGCTGCGAGGCGATGGCTCTTCCATCACACTGTCATCGCACTGCGGAAACACCCCAAGCAGCGCAGCTGCAGCACCGCTGGCGGCAGAGAGCTGACCTCCAGGGGAAGGCCCCCGGCCAGCCCTCCTGCCTTCACAGCCTCCCAGCGATGTCTGTGGTTAGGTGATAGGGTCTTCACTGGTCATGAGACCACTGACGCATCGCTGGGCTGGAATAAGTACTCAGTCGCCATGCTGAGTAATCTTGTGAAGACTTTGGGGTGCCCAAGTTACCATCACTGCCTTTTATTACTGCTGTTACCAAAGCCACCCATCCCTTGTGATGCTCCAACACAGTCCACCGAGGCCCCTCACAACCAGATTGCCATTCCTTAAACTCTTCCTGTGCAGAAACTGTACACCCCTGACTGTTAGTGTGGCAGCAGTTTTAAAATTCAATTCAGCCCGGCCAGTGTGGCTCACTGGATTGAGCGTCATCCCATGCACCGAGAGGTTATCAGTTCGATTCCCAGTAGAGCACACGCCCAGATTTCGGACAGGATCCCCAGTATGGAATGTGCAGGAGACAGCTGACCAATGTTTCTCTCTCATCAATGTTTCTCTCTCTCTCCTTTCTTCTCTATCTAAAAAAGCAATAAAATTATATTTAATAAATAAATAAAATTCAGCCCTGGCTGATGTGGCTTAGTTGGTTGGAGTGTGGTCCAGTATACCAAAAGGTGAAGGGTTCAATTACCAGTCAGGGCGCATACCCAAGTTTCAGGTTTGATCCCTGGTGGGAGGCAGCCAATCGATGCTTCCCTTTCACATCAGTGTTTCTCTCTCTTTCTCTCTCTCAAATCAATAAAAATATTTTTTATTTCTTTAAAGAATTCAATTCAGAACAAATTCAACAAGCATCTATTATCTCCATTTATTTCACATGTATTAATGTGCCCACCAGTGAATGAGGCTGGCCTTCAACAGTTAGTGAAGGAGTGTCCAGGACAACAGTAGTCACTTATTTTTCAATCTTCCTGAAAAATTAATTCTCTGCATTTATTTGACTCCACCAGCAAAGAGAAATAGCCATAACAGTTGTCTAGAGTACAAAAAAAAAAAAGTGTATAATATCAGACATGTGTTCAAATTGCAGCTTTACTACTTCTTTATTATAAAATATTAAGCTACTTAGCATCTCTGAGCTCATTTTCCTCCGTTGTAAAATGGTGACAACAAACCCTTCCTTCAGAGAGTGCTGTGAAGGGCTCGATTCCAGCACACACACTAACACCGGAAGGATCCAGAGAAGACCGCATGGCGCCTGCACAAGGAGACACGCAAATCTGTGAAGTGCCCCATAGTTTTAACAGTCCCTCAGATGGGGGGACGAAGGATGTTAGAAGATGAAATTCAAGCCATGACCCGTTTGGCTCAGCAGTTAGAGCACGGGCCTGAGGACCAATGAGCTCCAGGTCTGATTCCGGCCAAGGGCATGTACCTCGGTTGCGGTTTGTCCCTGGCCCTGGTCGGGGTCATGCAGAAGGCAACCAGTCAATGTGACCCTCTCATATCCATGTTTTTCTCTCTCTCTCTCCCTTTAACTCCCTCTCTGTCCCTCCCACTCTATCTGAAGATAAATAGAAAAATACCCTCAGGTGAGCATTAAAAAATAAAATAAAATAAAAAAGGTGAAATTCAAGTTAACAATGTGGAAAAATTTAGTTCAGTACAATTAAGAAAGAAATGATGGCCCAGCGGTGTGGTTCAGTGGTTGAGCATCAACCCATGCATCAAGAGGTTGCCGGTTCTGCCCTGGCTGGTTTGGCTCAGCGGTCAGAGTGTCGGCCTGCAGACCAGAGAGACCTGGGTTCAGTTGCCGCTAAGGGCACATACCTCAGTTGCAGTTTGTCCCCGGCCCCGGTTAGGGTCATGTGGGTGGCAACCACTAGATGTATCTCTCACATCCATGTTTCTCTCTCTCTCTCTTCCTCACTCTCTCCCTCTTGCTGTATCTGAAGATAAATGCAAAAATATCCTTGGGTGGGGATAAAAAAAAAAAATCTGAAAAAAAAAGAGGTCATTTGTTTGATTCCCAGTCAGGGCACATGCCCAGGTTGTGAGCCAAATCCCTAGTCAGGGGGCATGCTGGAGGCAACCAACCAATGTTCTCTCTCATCGATGTTTCTGTCTTTCTCTCCCTCTCCAATTGTCTCTCTCTAAAAATCAATAAAGAAGAAAAATTAGAAAAAAAAGAGAAACAAATGATGGCCCCACTTGAAGATAAAGAAACTATAAACAGAAGAAGATGGTGGGAAAGGTTTTTCTGATGACACATGCCATTGCCTCTTTGAATAAATCTTTGTGTCAACTAAAAAAATAGAGCACTGTGAAAATGAACCCGCTAACAAGTGCAGATTGCCAAATCTGGTGCCAGATGCATAGAAGCAGACCCTGTCAAACAGGAGCTACTATTGTGGTGGTGGTTATACATTATTATTATTACTACTGTCATTGACAGATCTGTGCTTTGTGAGGGAGAGGAGCCTTTTAGAGACAAGTAATATGGGGAAACTTCGGGAAAACATCCCTTCTAGGCAGTAGAATATCTAAGTTTCAAGTGGGGGCATATTACATTGTAACAATTTGGATTTTTCATTGGAGGTGACATTCTTCAGTGACAAAAGCAAATGTTCTATCTTTCTGGAGGAAAAATCTAATTCGGTTTTTTGTTTGTTTGTGTTTTTTAACTTAAATGTGATCTTCAGTTGATTAGTCCACCCCTGGGAATCAGTCTTCTTTAAAAAAAATTAAGGTGTTCTTTGCCTAATCTGTCAAGAAGTTCAAATAGAAGATGCTGGCTTGAAGTACTACTCTGAGTTACCAGAGGCAGGAAGGGAGGCATCACAAACCCTTTTCCTTATTTTTATTTTAAAGGGTTAGCAGATCATAATAAAAAAAATCATCATCTAAAAATGCTTTATAAGTGAGTGAGTATTGTTTGGCTTTTTGTTTTCCTTTTTTTTTTTTTTTTTAGTTTGGGGAAGTCAGAGAGTGCTACAAGGAAAAATGGTAACTTTGCCTCCTTTTTTCATCACCTTAGACAAGCAGAGAAAATAATTAACTTTCACAGATCAGTCCATTTAGACCAGGTCAATAGCTGAGCATACAGTGGTCAGCAAGCAAAAATATAGAAAAATGAATGTCAACTGGGGTTTTAGTGTACAGAAAGAATCTTCATTTTTAAAGATAATCTCTAATTTTCATTTATAAGGCCCAAGAAGATAAACTAGACAAATAAAAAAAGTTTTTCTTGCCCCATCCAGTTTTGCGCAGTGGTTAGAGCGTCAGCCCGTGGACCAAAGAGTTGCAGGTTCAATTCCAGTCAAGGGCACATAACTCAGTTGCAGTTTGGTGCCTGGCTATGGTCAGGGTCGTGCAGGAAGCAACCAGTTGATGTGTCCCTCTCACATCGATGTTTCTCTCTCTCTCCCTCTTTTTCTCTCCCCCTCCCTCCCATTCTATCTGAAGATAAATGGAAAAAATATTCTTGGGTGAGGATTTAAAAAAAAATTTTTCTTTCCTTCAATCAACACAATAGCCATAAAGTGGTTTTCATGACATTCGTTTTCAGATTTTGGTATTAAGCCCAATGCACAATTTAAATACAGTTTTCCTATTTTTATGGCCAATACATTGAGTATATATCTTTCTCACTGTTTAAATCAGAGTAAAAAGTTTCATCTAAAATTATTTATTTTCACTCTTTAATTTTGATTCATGTGCCTCTGGAGAATATATCTTTTGTATGATTCTAATTCCCAAAATGAAAGGAAAACAGAAGATGAAATGCCATTGGTTAGTTCTTTAAAAAGGTTGTTTGGAGGGGTCACTCCTGAACTATTCTTTATTTTGTAAGTCATATTTCAAGTGTTTGATCTTGACAGCCCTGAAACACTACCTCACAATTACATCATAACTATGAAACAACTTTTGTTGGCTAGTGAAATGACTTTTCAAAAGTTTCCACTAAATACACAAATATTATAGTGAAAGGATGTCAGAGTATTCCAAATGATTAGTGATGGTATTAAAATTGCCAGTATTGCTATATATTATACCCCTAAGAAATTTAGAATATTTATGGCAAGACCTTCATCTAAATGGTCTGACTCTTTTTTGTTGTTGCACTTTTTAAAGTGACCGATAATTCCTTCTTTTAGTCTTTTTTCACGTGCTTTGCCATTACTAAAAGCCATTTAAACCACTGGTATCTTTTACAGTGAGAAAAAATAGCTTTCATACAAGAGTCAGTAGAGCAACTGAACCAAACAACATCTACTATCATCTCAAATATTTAATTAATTCAATAAATATTCATTATAAAGTCATAATATATCATATGATACAAATTCAACTATGTGCACTTGATCCATCTCTCCCCCACCAAAAAGAACGACGGAGAAATACAACCTTTTCAATAGTGTAGATGCTCCAACCACCCATTCACTCAAGGACAGACCTCAGTTGTCAGAGAGAGGAGAGGATGAACCCACTGTCGGCTTGGCTGGTTTTATTTTCCTTTACTTCCCTCAAAGGTGAGGATGAATGTAAGGCTAGAGTCTGAAATCTGTGTTTGGTATACCTCAGGGCCTCTAAATAAAAACTAGCTGATTCATCTGGTTCCCAACCCAAAACCAACGTAACAAAATGACAATCTGATCCATTACTGGAGAAAAACCTGGCTCTGTTGGACCTAGTGAGGGCTGTCCTGTATTATTGTATTTTATAAGCCTTCGGAGAGATTTTTCAAGGATAATCTTGACTCCAAGCTTTATTTGCCTTCCCCTTCATGGTAGATGCTCAATACAATGCAGTCATGTAAGGTACAACTGCTCTGTGCTGAAATTACAGAGGACATTTAAGGGGAGCATTCCTGGATCACTTAGTAGGCAGTTTAGAGGTATGAGAACAAGATTATTCATACACACGTACAGATACATACACACAGGTAACTTGAGAATGAATCACATTTATGTAGAGTGAACCAATCTTGACCTGTCCTTTTTCTAATCTAATAGTTGGTTTAATATTTACTTTCCTTATTAGGAACTATGAGCATGTCAAATGATATAACTTAAAAAGGTGCTATAATAGGACTGATATTTGTTTTTAAATTTCTGTTTTTAGAACTAATGTTTAATAGAGTTGGAGATTTTTTTTTTTTTTTAATCTTCACCCAAGGACATTTTTCCATTTTTTGTTCAAATAGAATGGGAGGGAGAAAGAGAGAGAGAGAGAGAAACATCTACATGAAAGGGACATATCGAGTGGCTGCCACCCGCATGACCCAACCAGGGCCGGGGACAAACTATAACCAAGGTACGTGCCCTTAGCAGGGATTGAACCCGGGTCTCTCTGGACCACAGGCCCGACGCTCTAACCGCTGAACCAAACTGGCCAGGGCAGGCTAGTGGTTTAAAAACAGAAATGTAAACACAAATTGCTAATCACTGAGATGCATCAGCCGTGAATAGCTTTTATGGGTAACATATATAGAATGTATACACTGTGTACTCATGTGCCCTAACATTAAAACAGCTGCTACATATATGCTGGGTTCAGCAAATTTCCTCCCTATCCCCAAACAGTCTCAGCTGCACCAAAACTGAAATGCATCTTGACAAGCATTTCTCGTAATTGTTTCAATAAAGGATATTTTCAAGAAAATCTAATCCACCTCTTTCTAATTCAGTTACAGTTTATTCCCTTAAGATGTTACCTTGACTGAGCTAGCTCTATTTAAAAAATCTTTTTACTCTCTTTTTTTTTTTTTAAGACTTCTTTGCAAACAGGTTGTCCTTCAAATACCTGGGGGCCTCCCCAGCCCTCAACTCATGTTTGATTCAAGCTCAGAATGAGCCTTGTTTAATCAATTGGACGCCCCAAGAGGTTGGGAAACATACCACCCCATGATCAGGAGGAGAGAGCCCTGAAGCAAGCATTGAATTTTCTCACAACTCAAACCTAATCCTCTCTCCCTCCTTATAGGATCAAATGGAAACAGCACAGGTTACATGCAGTACCTCATTCAAGCTGACCTTTTCCGTTCAAGAGAAATAAGGGCAATAATATAGGGAATATGACTTTAAACAGAGGGCCATCCTGCCTAGGGATAGCCTCGTCATAGTGATTACATCAACAGATCTTGGTAGCTTTATTTTAGGAAGGATGGCAGGAGAAACAAAGAATATACTAGTTGAAGCTGATTTACGGGAGAGGCCAAAATCCTTCTTTCCTCCTTGGTATCACCCAAGTTACTCATGCCAATGTGTGAAACTACACATCATCATTTTAGTTGTCTGCAG